TAATTGCAGCTATTTCAATTATTGTTGTTTTGGTTTAACTGTTTTCACAAAGCTTAATGCTATCATTAATTAATATGGAGCGCTATCGTACCCAGTTGATTAAAGATAAGTGTTGATCAAATGCTGGGTTTGGTCAACTGATTTAGGAAAACACAAGGTTTATTATGGCTATCCTAATAAATCTAATGTTAAATGCTTGAATTGCAAGACTGGTGAATTTTACCTAGGATCGATGGTCAATTGATTCAACCCGAACCCTTGAACCAGAATTTGGTAAGACTGATTTCTTTTTGATTGTTAAGTTTGCTATTGCTTTCTTGTTCTTTTAATTTTAGTTATTTTATTTTCCCACTTAGTTAAATTATCCATTCGGCTAAGAGATTACTGATTTGCTCCCCGTGGGATTCGACCTAGTACCACTTTTACTGCAAATATTTTATTGTGGGACTAGTATTAATTTTGAGGGCTTCGACAAACCCGTCAAAATTATGGGTTGATAGCTCGTTCTCTCACAAAAATCTTCTCAAAAAGGGTTGTTTTAAGTGGAATGAAGAGGTAGAGGAGGCATTCACAAGGCTCAAACAAGCTATGACAACCACGCCTATCCTTGCCATGCCAAATTTCTCTAAGCCATTCATTATTGAAACCGACGCTTCAGGAGATGGAATCGGGGCCGTCTTAACTCAACAAGGAAGGCCGATAGCATTCATAAGTAGAGCATTGGGTGTTTCCAAACGGCCGTGGTCTATTTATGCTAAAGAAATGTTAGCTATAGTGGAGGCAGTTCGAACTTGGAGACCATACATCCAAGGCCGGAAGTTCTTTATTCAAACGGATCAAAGAAGCCTCAAATACTTTCTAGATCAACGTGTGGCCACTTCCGAGCAGCAAAAATGGGTTGCCAAACTTCTTGGGTACGATTATGAGATTCTTTACCGGTCTGGACGTGGAAACTCAGCAGCTGATGCTTTATCTCGACGAGCTAACAGTCCTCTTCTGAATCCATTAGTTGTTTCACAGGTGTCTCTATGGGATGATATACGGAAGGCAGCAAAAGATGATGCGTATTTGCAGAAATTATTCCAACAGGCAGCAAGCGATCCTACGAGGAATTACTCAGCGAAAAATGGATTATGCTTCTACAAAAACAGAGTGGTCGTTCCTACTGCACTACGCGAACAACTTCTATAGGAATTCCATGATAGCAAGATGGCTGGGCATTCGGGAGTGTTAAGAACTTACAAGCGGTTGGCTCAACAGTTTTACTGGCCTTCTATGTACAAATCTGTCCAGGATTATATTGCTCCATGTAACACCTGTCAGAAAATTAAATCTGATACACTAGCGCCCGCTGGGTTGCTCCAACTACTTCCAATTCCTTGTCAGGTATGGGATGATATTTCTTTAGATTTTATTGAAGGATTTCCGTCTTCATGTGGGAAAGATAGTATAATGGTAGTTGTGGATAGACTAAGTAAATATGCCCATTTTATTGCTTTGTCTCATCCTTTTTCTGCGAAGATTATTGCTGAAAAATTTGTGGAGAATGTTATAAAACTTCATGGAATGCCAAAGTCTATAATCAGTGATCAGGATCCTATTTTTGTTAGTAAATTTTGGCACGAATTTTTCACCATGTCAGGTACTAAATTGAAGTTGAGTTCAGCCTATCACCCACAGACTGATGGCCAAACGGAGGTGGTAAACCGCTGTATCGAACAATACTTGCACTGTTATGTCCATCAATGGCCTCGAAAATGGTATAGCTATCTGTCATGGGCTGAGTATTGGTACAACATCACATTCCATTGCTCTACAGGAATGACTCTATTTCAAGATTTATATGGTCGACTTCCTCCTTCAATTCCGCTGTGCACAGAAGGTTTGTCACGTGTCAATGAATTAGATCAGAATCTTCTTCATCGGGACGAAGTGCTCCAACAATTAAAGAAGAATCTAGAAGCGGCAGCCACAAGAATGAAGCTTATTGTTGATCGTAAGAGGAGAGATGTGGAATTTGAGGTTGGTGACTTAGTGCTACTAAAATTACATCCCTACCACCAACAAACCGTGTTTAAACGTGCACATCACAAGCTTGCCAGTCGGTTCTATGGCCCTTTTAAGATTGAACAAAAACTGGGCAAAGTGGCTTATAAACTGTCTTTGCCTTCGGAAGCCAAAATACACCATGTTTTTCATGTTTCACTCTTAAAGAAATTTGTTGGGACTCCCTCACCTGCTACTGTTGAGTTGCCACCACTTTCAGATGAAGGCTTTATTCAGATTAAACCAGAGAAGATTTTAGAGATACACTGGATAAAGCAGGGCTCTAAGTTCTTAGAAGAATGTTTAGTTAAGTGGAAATGGTTGCCCATTGAAGATGCTACTTGGGAAAATGCGGTACTTCTCAAGACTCAATTTCCTTCGTTGAACCATGAGGACAAGGTTCCTCCTGGTGGGGGAAGTATTAATAGACCCAGAAGGTCTTTGCGTGTTCCTAAGAAGAATCCCAAGTTCCTGGATTGACTTGGACAACATCAGTTAGCTAGTATTCAGGAATAAGTTGTTACGTGGGCTAGTATTTATGTTTTGAATTTGTTTTGAGTCAGTATTTTCCATGACTTTGTTTCCTAGAGTCAAGGTCAGTTAGCTAGAATTCAGGAATAAGTTGTTACGTGGGCTAGTATTTATGTAATCACTTTAGTCTGGAATAGAGCAAGCTGAATTATTTTTTCAAGTGGTCTATCTTTCACCAAAAGAAAGTCTTTTATTACTGGTTTGCATTGAATCTGATTGGGACCTATCATGGGCGGCTTGAGACCTTGAGCGGAGATCAAGTTAATCTCCAGGAGATGAGTTTCCAATTCCAGGTGGGGTTTTTGTAGCTGACTATGTCACTCCAGGTGGGGTTTTTGTAGCCGACATGGTCGACATGGGTGCGGAGTTGATCCAGGCGACAACGTAAGTCTGCATGTGCCAGGGGTTAGTAGTGGGGGGCTTGAGGCCTTGAGCGGAGATCAAGTTAATCTCCAGGAGATGAGTTTCCGATTCCATGGCGTGYTGGTTTCGACAGGAAAGAGAAGAAGAAGAAGAAGGATAGTAGAAAGAAGAGAGACAGCCCATCGCTATTACTAGAAGTCACAATAGTGACGATCTGGTCTTAGACTTAAATAGGGGAGGTGAGATTGATGGGGAGGAAGAAGAAGAGCGGGAAGAAGAGAGAGAGGAAGAGGGAAAAGAGAAAAAATTGGAAAGGGGTGCTACTGCTTTGCGTCCTCTGTATTGAGTGGCAGTTGCAGTGACCGCCAATGACAGAGAAGGTAAAGATTCTGGTAGCTGAGTTTGAGTTTTTGTCTTTTAAGGCAATTCTCCGAAGAGATGGTGCTGGATACGATAGTGATGAACTCGGACAAACAGATAAGGATGGATTGTTCATTGGTAAATTCAAGTTTTTGTCTTAAGTTAGAGTTAAAGGGTAAAAGGGACATTTGAGTCATTCTATCTATATTTAAGGACACTATTAAGAACTAGTCAATTGTTAGAAACAGTAAAGGTAGGGTTAGTCAATTTTAAAACAGTAAAGATACACTTAGTCAATTAGCTAAACCATAAAGGTAGTTTAAAAAATTTACACATTATAGAAAATATATGACAAATATAAAAAATTAAAGGAAAAGAGCATAAATTATAAAAAATAAAAAATTACAAAAAATATAACAAAGAACTGAGATTAAGCATTTTAGTAATTTTATGTTTACCGTCAATTCCTTTACAAGGTACAGGAATCTAAAAAATTGAGGGTGGATCTTTAATCGTGAATGAAAGTTTGGGGGAGCTAAGTGTCATTACTCCCTAAGCACCGGGTGGATGTCTATAATTTACCCCCAAAAATAATAAATAAAAGATCTGAAAAGAGTGGTTTATCTATCTTCCCTTCGATAGAGGCGTGTCCGTCCCAATGCAATACCTTTCCTAAAATAACTTGCAGAAGAGTATAACAGAGAACCACCCAGCAACAAAATGGCCAAAGCAAAACCCAAATCATTCTCCCTGAATATGCTCTGCTTGGCACTGCTTTATCTAGAAACCCATCTCTTCTTTTGCAGTGGATTTGACACTTCAGGATCTAATTCATTGAGAGTCGGTGAAATAGAGGCAATGGTGAGTAGGCCTTGCACGGGGAAGATCAACGAATGCCTCTGGGCAACGAAGATGGAGGCGGAGATGGACTCGGAGACTAATCGGAGAATGTTGATGATGCAGAAGTATATCAGCTACGAGTCGCTGAAGCAAGACATTGTTCCCTGCTCAAGACCCGGCTCTTCGTACTACAACTGTCCACCGATGGGACGGGCCAATCCTTACAATAGAGGGTGCGAAGTGATAACAGGCTGTGCTAGAGACATCAGGGACATCAGATCTTAACAATTGTGGTCCATGAAGGAAATGGGGATGGTGAGATCTTCTTGCATTTTAGTTTTATATACATTTATTTAGAGACCCACATCAGCATTTCCATATTCCTCTGTCCAGATATATGTGTATCAGTGTATCTTTTAGCTTGTTTTCGACGGAGATTTGGAGTTTCTTTTTAATGGCTGTTAGAATCAGTTAAAGCCATTTTAAAGCACATAAACAGTGCCATTATCGGTTGTGTGTATAATAGGTTATGTATTACATATTAATTTGACTTAATTGAAGGAGAAAAGAGATGTTGCTTGTTGCTGAGCATTGAGGATGACTGCAATTTTCAATGCACTACATATCAGACAATCACTTAGATATGGCATATCCAAGCAGTCAAAATCTCACTCGAAATAAGTTACCAAAAAATATGGATGTTATCTCAGATCTGGTTCTTAGAATAGTTTAATATTTTTCTGGTTTTATTGGTGGCTGATCTTCTCTTTGGTGTCCTCTACGCATTGAAGAGTTTAGATTGGGGGTGTGTTAACCCACGATAGATTTGGAGTTTGTACTCTTAGCGGATTGGTTGTAGGCATGGGCTCTCTTAAATTCTAGAAACTCTCAGAAAATGTCTGGTTTATTTCCACCCTTAGTTGCCGTTGTTGCTTCTTTCTCTTAGGTTATGTTTGGTTTGAAGGAAAAGGTAAGGAAAATAAGAGAAAGGTAGGGAAACCTTTACAAGGTTTGTATGGGTTTCCCTACCTTTCCCTACTTTTTCCTTCATACCAAACACAGTTTTAGATTTTATGGGTTAAGTAGATAATTAACTACCTTGACTTCAAGGAGGGCCATGGTGAGCAGCATTCTATAATGGGTCAAAATAGGGTTAAAAAATTACAACCCCTTTGGGCTTACCAGAACCTAGACTGAATATGACTGTTGTTAGTCTCATACAGACAAATACATACATGCACATGTAAATATAGAAATACAGAGAGGTTTTCCTAGTAGGTCAGTCGCGTTCTTTTATAGATGGCCTACCTTGGTTTTCCAGCCAATAAAGAATGTCCATCAACTAAAGTATCCTCAACATTTGAAATGTCGTCACCTTCTTGGTCCATGTCATCCATATACCCCTTGTTCAGCCCTGCCTCTTGTATTTACAGAACCTGTAGAATTTGTGGTCTGTATGGCTATCATCACCCTATGTCTCAGTACTGCAATTTTAAATGTTAAAAGCATAACAAGGGCGTAGTTTGATGGTGGAAAACCTGTGATTTTGCACTGTCTTCCATATACACCTTGTTCATCCCTGCCTCTTGTATTTACAGAACCTGTAGAATTTGTTGTCTGTATGGTTATCATCACCCTATGTCTCAGTATTGCAATGTTAAATGCTAAAAACATAACAAGGGTGTAGCTTGGTTGTGGAAAACCTGTGATATTGCACTGTTTTTCTAGTCAAGGATAAAGTAAACCCAGAGTTAATGGTTTTTGTTGTCATTATTTATGCTTTTGCTTTAGATAGGATAGATCCAAGCAATGCAGCTTTCTTTAACTTCTTATGCATATATACCATCCAAAATTATTGATGAAAATATTTTATCTTGAATTACAGTGAATGATTTTTGCTTGTAAATAATGGTTTCTGTAAAGGATCTATGGCCTTGAGGTCTAAGAAAAGAAATAAAAGAAAGATGAAAAGACATTATCTTGAAGTAAAATTTGTAATTTTGAAAAGGACTGCAAAATCTGAAGACAAATGACCTGGTTAGAAGACCTAA